TTATTCAGCGCCCTTCACTAGGCCATGTGCCAGGCGCTAGAGATAGAGCAATGAGTGAAAGAGATTTGGTCCCTCTGCTCATGGATTTTACAGTGATAGCTAATCACACAGGTCTTTAAACTACAATTGCCATTTGTACCGTACGAGAAAACAGGGAGTTCTGTGATTGTATTTAAAATCTGCCAAAGCCTCCCTAGGAAGTAAGGAAATGCTATTTAAATTGAGTCTTGAAGAATGAGGAGCTGGTTAAGTAAAGAGAGATGGAAGAACCATCCAGGCAGATGGAATAACATACTCCAAATCTCAGAGCTAAGAGGAAGTACGATGCATGTGAAGAACTCAGAAGATGTTGGAATCTAGTGATGTGAATGTGAGTAATTACACAATGTTAGACAGGAGAACTAGACAGCGGCTAGATAATGTGGAGCTTTGAGGGGTATTTCAAGGATTTTGAATTTTATCTTGATAGCAGTGGGCAGCCTTTGAAAAAGTTAAAGTGTAGGAGTGGCATGATTAGTTTTTTTCATGTCTCTGTATGTCCTCCATTGGGTGGTGACAAGAGTGAATAAGAGAAGATTAATAAGTAGGCTGTTGCAGGACTCCAGGCAGGAGGTGATGAATGGCTTGAATAATGGTGGTGGCCATACAGGTAGGTGGAAGTAAGCAGATTCAGAATATTTTTATATGTGATTTTTCTCAGTCTTCCTTATATCATAAATTTAATAACTACTCATAGAGTTGCTCAAGCCCAAAACCTAAGTTATGCTTGATTCTTTTCTTTTTCTCACTCTTCACATCCAGTCATGTCAGCTCTACCTTAAATATATCTCAACTGCAACCTCATCTCAGCCTTTCCACCCCTGCTACCACCATCCTAACCAAGCCACATCCTCTCTCACCTGGACCGTTGCAAATGTCTCCTAACTAATATCTGTATCTACGTCTGCTTTCCAAGCCTAGTTTCATAAACCATCTGGAGTGATATTTAAAAAGTATAATTCACTTAATGTCACTCCACTGCTCAAACAACTCCAATGACTTTTCATCACACCTGGAACAAAATTCAAACTTCTTACCATGGCTTCCTGGCTCCTCTGTGATCTGACCCCTAATAACCACTTTGGTTTGATTCCCTACACCTTACCCCCTGCTCACCACTAGCCCCTGGTCACACTGGCCTCCCTTCCATTCCTGGAACACATTGAGCTTATTCCCACTTCAAAGCCTTTAGACTTGTTCCCTCTGCCTGGAGTGCTCTTCCCAGATCTTCCTGAGGCTGTGTCCTTCATATCATTTAGGTCTCTATGAAAAAGAGCCCATTTCCCATCCCTTTGTTTTGGTTTTGCCTTCTTAGTCCTAGAGTAACTTGAAAATATTTTTACTTATTTATGCATTTACTCTCTTTTATCTGTCTATCTTTTTAGAAAATAAGCTCTTTGAGGATAAGAACTTTGACACTGAAACAACCCTAGTGTCTAGAATACACTTAAAAGATATAGAAATGAATGAATAAATGAAAATTTAGACAAAACTATGAATGTAAAGACCCTAGTTCTGTTTTTTGGCACACAGGAGATGTCTAACAACAGGTAGTTCCTGTTGTTATTCTCTTTAATCTGTGTAGTAAGGAGTTACTTTTTCCCCAGATATGATTAAATTATACCGTTGATAACTTTGTTAGTGAGTTATTGTCACTAAATAAAATGAGAGTCTTGGTGTGTGGAGGGGTCATCATAGTGGTTACTTTTGAATAAGTGGAACAGTAATATGAGAAGAGTCTGTACATACTCAAAAGGACTGTGATGGATACACTTTGGGGAGCCACCCCTGCTTCCCACCTGATGGTGGTCACACCCTTTATAGTCCTATTTTCCTGAGTTTGGGCAGGGCCTGTGACTTTCATATAACCTATAGAATAGGGCAAAAGTAATGGCATGTCACTCTTGTGATTAGGTTATTTTATATGACAACGATAATGAGATGTCACTCCTGTGATTATGTTATATTATAAAGACTGTATAGGCAGACTGGAATTAGAGAGGACTTCTCTCCCTTGCTGGTTTTAAAGAAGTAAGCTGCCATGTTGTGAGGTAGCCTGTGGAGAGGCCACATAGCAATGAACTGTGGGTGGCCTCTAGGAATGGAGAGCAGCCCCGAAATAACAGCCAGCAAGTAAACAGGGCCCTCAGTCCTACACCCACAGGAAATGAATTCTGTCAACAACCTGAAAAGGCTTGTAAGCGGATCTTTCCTGAGTCAAGCCTGTGATGAGACTGTAGTCCATCCTGACACCTGGATTTCAGTCTGATAAGACCCTGAAGCAGAGTCCAGCTAAACTGTGCCTGGATTTCTGACGTACAGAAATTTTGAAATAAAAAAATGTGTGTTGTTTTAAGCCAGTAAGTTTGTTGTAATTTGTTACATAGCAATAGAAAACTAATACAAGAACCATATACAGAAACTAAAGAAAAGCAAAATTTAGTCAAATATAAAAAGGACATGCCAAATACATATATATATATGTATAACAATCACTTTGCTGTAAGTCAACTATACTTCAATTTTTTTAAAAGGCCATTAAATAGAGTTATCTAAAAATGAAATGAGTTTCATCTGAGAGTACTAACTTTCTCATTGCTGAAAGTGTCCAACTGGTTCAAATGTGGTTAGTTTATCAGCAAGGAGACAGGAGATTGGATTGGTTATCCTCACAGGGTTCCTACCCCATTAAAAATGATATGATTTTAAGAATGAATTATCACCATTGACCTGGCACAGTAAATCCTGTGGATAAACACAAACAACCCCTGCTTACACAACTAAAGTTGCTGTCAAACTTTCATATTCCCGACCAGCAAAAGCTTATTCAATGGAGCTACTTGCTTTTAAAATCCAAAATAAAGACACAAAAATAAACTCTTTTCATTTTGCTTTTTGAAAGCACAACATAGTGTTTTGGTTAAAAAGCAATTATATTCATTTGATTCCATGCTTTCAACAATTCTAAGAAATCTTAAAAAAAAAAAACAACACTATACACGGGGAGGGGGAAGGGTAAGCTGGGACGAAGTGAGAGAGTGGCATGGACACATATACACTACCAAATGTAACATAGATAGCTAGTGGGAAGCAGCCGCATAGCACAGGGAGATCAGCTCGGTGCTTTGTGACCACCTAGAGGGGTGGGATAGGGAGGGTGGGAGGGAGGCTCAAGAGGGGGGGGATATATGTATATGTATAGCTGATTCACTTTGTTATAAAGCAGAAACTAACACACCATCGTAAAGCAATTAAACTCCAATAAAGATGTTAAAAAATAAAACACTATACCCATGTGGCCTGATTCTGGTGCCAAAAGGAGGTAGATCATTTTAAAATTACCTACAAAAAGGCAAGTTAATACTGAGAGGAAATATCTGTGAATCTTTTCTCTGGGGGTGAGGGAGGTATAAGGACTTGTATCCAGAATACATTAAAAACTCCTACAATTCAATAAGAAGAAGACAAACAACTCAGTTAAAACTTGGGCAATGGTTTGAATAGGTATTTCACCAAAGAAGATATTCAGATAGCTAACAAAGACATGAAAATATACTTAACATCATTAGGTATTAGGGAAATGTAAATTAAAGCCACAATCAGATCTCACGTCACACCCACTAGAGTGGCTATAATAAAAAGACAACAATGAGTTCTGCCAAAGATATAGAGAAAAGTGAACCCTCATACATTTCTGGTGGGAATGTAAAATGGTGCAGCCATTTTGGAAAACAGTTTGATGGTTCTTTAAAAAATTAAACATAAATTTACCATACAACCCAGCAATTCCACTCCTAGGTATCTACCCAACAGAAAGAAAAACATTTGCCCATCCAAAAACATATACATGAATGTTCATTGAAGCATTATTCACAACAGGCAAAGCGTTAGAAACAACCTAAACATCCATCAACTAATGAATGGATAAACAAAATGTAACACATCCATACAACAGAATACTATTCAGCAACAAATCGGAATGAACCGTTTGTACGTGCTATGATCTAAAACGCTGTGCTGAAGGAAAGAATTCAGATGCAAAAGACTGCAGATGGTACGATTCCACTTATTTGAAGTATCCAGAATTGCAACTATATATAGACAAAAAGCATACTAAGCAATCAGTGTTTGAAATGGGCAGAGGGGATGTTTTGGGGTGATAGAAAATGTTCTGAAATTGAATTGTGTTCATAATTGTACAATTTTGTAAATTTGCTAACAATCATTAAACTGTACACTTAAAATGGGTTAATTTCATGGTATGCAAATTAAACCTCAATAAAACTATTTTTAAAATACCTCCTCTTAAAATACTATCTACTAGACAATAACGTCATTTGAAAACACGGATATACAAATGGTCTCAGGGACCCTCCCCTCCTAGGTGGAGTTTATAGATGGGTACAAAGGCAAACCTCATGAATCCAGGCTTTCATCATTTTATCAGGGAGTAGGAAGAAGTGGATCAATGTTTGTCCCTAGGGAAGGCGTCGGTAAGTAAAGTCACTATGACACAAGCTAACAGAGGCAGCCTTGGAATATTTACAAAGAACAGACTTTGGAATTCCCTGTCAGTACTTTAGAAGCACTCATTTTTTAATACAAGGATCTGCTGGTATAAAGTATTTTTATACATTAGAACAGATCATTTCACACTCCGGCAACACAATCTTTTGATAGCATCACTTATTTCTGCATCGAAATATTTAAAATATTATTCAGTTCAGACATCTCATTGAATCAGACATGTCTTTCCATGTCTACCCGAGTGTGTTTAAATGAGCTATTCATAGCTCATTTCTGGAATTATTAATCTAACTATACTTTGACCAAGAAGATGTACATACGTATCGTGCACTTACACATTTTAAGGGACAGAGGCTATATAAGTAGCTAGAAATGTATATTTAATTTTTGGGAGCTGGGGATACATTTTCAACCCTAACATTGCAATTGTGTACCTGGAATGTGATGGTCCTCTTTCCTGGGAAGTCTGGGAGGACAGACTTCCATCAAGGGAGTTTCCTCGGTGGCAGCCTGAAATGGTGGCCTTGGGTGAGATGGAATCTGACTGGAACGTTTCAGAGACCACCTGGAGTCCCTTTTGGGGGTGGAGATAGTAGATTAGTGCTTTATTTTCCTTCAGGCATATCCTCTAGAATTATCTATCATATTATATACATTGTTTTTTAAGTTAAAAAAATTTGCAGCATAGTTAAATATCATGTCATAGAGGAAGGGATTTTGCCTTCATTTAAGAGGGAATGGAAACTGGCTTCTAGAGAGCACCTGTGTTATTCTAAGCCTTGGGCTAAGTACTTTCATGTCCTTTATTTCACTTTGCCCTTGATTCTTTTCTTTTTCACCTCCATGTCCAGTATCTACAGAAGAAGAGCTACAAACCAACAATTCATCAAAGATACACCAATACTGAGGTGAACTGAATAGAGACATGAGGCAGAGAACAAGGGTCAGGTTAGAAAGAGCTAATCAAATCAAAGACAAAACATAAGAATGAAAGTGCAAGGTTCAGGTTTTTCCATTACGCATCAGGGGGGCATGTAATACATTTTTCCAATTGGATACAATTACCTTTACTTGTAAGTACAAATTCATTTCACTTTATTTACAGAGTAGTTTAATTACATTTAGCTGATAAATGTAATTCTGCCCAGGTAATGTGAGCTATTTTTCCATCAGTATTACAGATAAAATTCTTTGCTAAAAGATAAAGACCCTCAAAAACTGATCCTAGCATTTTAGCCCTTACAATTTCGATTTTCATATGTAAAATAAGAAAGCATTGTTCAAACATGATGCATAGAGAGACAAATACAGCTAGAAATTTGATGAAATAAATCCTTTGAATTTGATCAAAGAATCCTTCCGCATGAACATATGATGTGTGTTTCATGTTAGATTTTTGGAGATAAAAAAATATTGGATGAACCTGAACCTTGAAATCCAGAGCTTACAGTTTAGTTTTAAGAGAAGTAAATACAGGTTACAGCAGCACATCTGATAGAAGTATAATGCAAGCCACATATAGGAGACACACACCTAATTTTTAAAGTAGTAAAAAGAAATAGGCAAAATTAAAATTTTAATAATATAGTCTGTTTAATCCCAAATTTTCATTTCAACGTGTCATCAATATAAGTGTTACCAATAAGTATTTACATTTTTTATACTAAATTTTCAATGTCGGGTATACATTTTATACTTAACACCAATTCAGACTATTCAATCAATTCAAACTAATCATATTTCAAGTGCTCAGTAGCCAAATGCGCCTGGTGGCTACCATATTGGACAGTGTAGATTTAGAGTAATTAGACAAGAGTTCATGAGGAGTCAAGATCTAAATTCGTCCCTAAAAGAAAGATACAATTTACGTGGGGAGGAGGAAACAGTCTGAGGGAAGACCCAGAGACTAAAACTGCATGCTCTGCCCCCTGGGAGCAGTGCTTAACTAACTGAAGGGATAATCAGGGTCACCTAAGAAGGATGATGTCAAGTGGTGGAATGCACAGAGAGCCAGGGAGAGGAGTGTGGTCTTGAGGTGATGATTAAAGGTTCCTAAGGAGGAAGGGATATAATAAAAGGATGGCACCTTGTATATAATGAGCCTCTGTGGAAATGATGAGTTAATAAAAAAATGATGCATTAGGAAGATTAGTCAGGCATTATGAACTGATATATGTGTGAAGCAGGAGAGGCTAGAGGTAGAAAATCCAATCTGCGGCTCCAGCTGCAATCTAGTTACAAGGACCTGGATTTAGCGGGGTAGCAGTGCACACCTGAGCAACGGGATGAAAAGAAAACAGTATGACTCAGGAAATCAAATGGAAAGGATTAAAGAGACTGAAATGTGGGATTTATGTATTTCATTGTATCTAAGATGTCTTCAAGTTATAAGATACACCATTATTTTATGTATGATTAAGAAAAAAATTTCTGTTAATTAAATTAGGACACTTCTTATCAGTGAGAACTTTTTAATTTTATACTTATTAAAAAGGTCTACCTTAAAAAAAAAAGGTCTACCTTAGCCTTATTTATGCAGAGCTTTTGATTATATATTAATCCCATGTATATGTAAAAAGGAAAATATAAGTGAAATAAATTTGTGTAGGTATTCCTAAAATTCTTTCACATTTAGCAATTTCAACTCAGAGCTGTTGATATATATTTCTCCATAGAATAACTTCCTCTGTGTCAAGAGTGTTATTTCTTAAAAGAGTGCTTCACTATCCCCTCTGACATACTATTCTAAGCCACTGACCCTGATTCTGCAAACCTGGATGCTGAAAATGACCAAATTTATGCTGCAAGAATGACAATCATATCAAGACTTCTACCAGGCAGGGAGATGGTTAGAGGCCAAAGATCATGAAATACACTAGATTTCAAATATGTTAAAAGTGAAAAAAATGTACATCTTAGAATAGATGAAATACAGCATATAAATCACAGTGTCTATACTTAGCAATTGCTCAGTAGGAGATATACTAGGACTCCAAAATTTCTAGTTTTCATGGTGAAAAGGATGGTGCTACTCCTGGCAATAATGCATGAACTGGAAAGAGGATCCAATTTTGATGGAAAGCAGTAAAGTGTATTTTTCACATGCTGAACTGGAAGTGAAAGCAGGTCATCTAACACGTATTAAGTTAATGACAGTATACATTTCTATGTGGCTTTGAACTACCCTGGTCTTCATTTCTCTTCTGAATCAAATAGTGCATGATGAATTTACATTAAATTATATTCTGTTTTATTATGCATCTTCTGTTTTATGTGGATTGGTCTTGATTCCCCATTAAACTTTACTTTCCTTAAAGGATGCTGTAACTTAAACCTCCTTTCCTTCCCCACTGCTGCAGGACTATTGTACCTATATTAGGTTTGCCTAGCAAATATTAGGAGACTCAATAATTGAGAACAAGATGATACTTGAGTTAATGCAGGATGAATAATGATAACTAACATTTATTGTTACATGCTAGCCATTGAGATACAGCACTGGTCAAGTCTTACCCTTCACACTACACTACGTTCAAGGAATGACCACCCTTCTTCTCATGATTATAATATACTCACCTCTCGGTGTCTTGGGTCTTGATTTGGTGATTCACAGGTCTGACTTTGACTGTTGATGGGAGAGCTTCTCTTAGCTGCAAAGATAGATGAAATCCCACCACAAATTTTATAAGTTTATATGTTATATAAGGTATTTTATTTCCTAAGTTCATTCCACTTTCAAATCAAAAACCTATTTTAATAGATCATTAAAACCTTGCAAGAAGACATTTAATAGCATATGTTGTAAGAGAAATCACATAACCTATTCAAAAATCTTAGCATTTCTAGGATATCAATATAGATTTCTTTCTTTATTCAGTATGACTCAATAAGTTAAGGTGCTAAAAATTGGCCATACTAAAAATTATAACAGTTAACATCTACATATTACCTAATATCTGTCAAGTCCTGTTCTAAGCGTTTTACATATATCAACTGATTCAACACTTACAATAACCCTGTAATAACTTATGGTATACTTCCAGACCCATTTTACAGATGAAGATACTAAGAAACAGGGAATTTAACTTGCCCAAGGTCACTGACCCTTAGAAAAAGGTTCCAGCCCAGGCTACCCGGCTCCAGGTGCTTTATTGAACACATTAAGCTGCCCCTGAGGTAAGATTCAAACCAGTCACATCTTTACCGGAGGATCAATGGGAAGCCAAAACGACAGGCCCCATTTGAATTGGAATATTTTGGTGCTGAGAGGCAAAGTGATTTACCAAATCACAAAGCAAGAGATCAGAGGAGTGTCACTCATGTGCCATTGTTTTTCTTCTGGCCATGCTAAGTTGAATTTTCCCTCAGTGGACACCATTTCAAGTCCAGAGGCATCAAGCAGCGGGTAAGGAACCCGCTGTGAATATCACTGAGAAGCACAGGGAGCGGGGAAGTGAATAGCTTAGGTGCTTTCATGGAGGGACATGATTCCTTAGTTTTTATACAAGTGTTAACCTCATTCCATCCATGGATTCTGAAGTAGGTCACTTCTGACTATGGCATCTTTACTTAGTTCCTTGATATCTGAATATTATGATAGACTGTTACTCTTTAATTTACAATTTATTTCAATAGTTAATGGATTATATACATGTAAATTGAGGGATTAGTCTACTTTCACTGTATGAAAAATTTCATCTTTTGAATGGCTATAATAAGCATGATTTGTCACTATAAGCATCTTATCACATATATGAATAATATGCAACTCCTCAGTTTACAAAATCCCTTAACATTCTATGAACCTTGCAAGTTTGTGTTAAGTTATAGGGGAAAATAAAGCATGTAAGAACTTGTTTATGGTTTCCTTCCCTTTACAAAGCTCTTTTCCATTCATAATCCTCCACTGTCTGCAGAAAAACCTTATAAAGTTAACAAACTATATATATATATATATGTATGTATATATGTATACATATATATACTTCTGTATATACTTCAGTGTGTGTATATACACACACACACACACTTCTGTAGATTTCCCACACAATTTATCTCTTTTTAAATTTTGTTATTGATGCTAAAAGTTGGGCTGGGAATAGAAGTATGTAATTAAGCACTCTCTATAAAATGGGCACTTTATATGCATTTTTATTGACTCCTCACTATGAAGCCATATAAGGTGGTATTTTTATCTCCATTTTAAAGAAATAGAAATGCTCAGGGAGGTGAGGTTACATACATGGTAAGAGATAGATCTGGGGTAGAGCATGAACTTTTCAGTCACTTTTCAAGTTATCATGTTGTACTCTTTCTACAATTCAACAGTAGGACTATTGCATTGGACCATTCCTGTAGTGAAATGCCTTGATAAAAAGAAAAACCAAAAACAACCCACTAAGGCGAGATCCTTAAGGAGCTGCTACTCCATCTACCATAATGATGAAATAATAATGGCTACCACTTACTCACTTACTATGTGCCTGGCATTCTTCTAAGTAATGTTACATATATTAACTCATCTTTCCTCATAACAACTCTGTAAGTACTTGTAATACTGTGTTTTGACCCCTACCCTATTTTACAGATGAGGAAACACAGGCACAGGAAGTTTAAATGACTTACCCAAAGTCACACAACTCAGCAGCATGTGCTCCTGGTTTAGAGTTTCTCATCATGTAAATGAGCCCTGTACCTCGGGCACCTAGACAACACCCTGAAGTTGTCTTCCTCTTGGTTTCTTAAGAGCAAATCATCCCATCGCCCTCACTCCTGTGTATGCTGACACTGTCCCACTGGGCGTCTGAGTCACAAACCTGTAATGATGTTCCTGATGGGCTTCACCAGTGCTGTGAAGCCAGAGACTTCGGGCTGTCTGTGCTCCCACATGGGCTGCCATATAACAAGCCCACTCGCCAGTCGGAACGTGAGGTCAGATTCCTGGGAGAAGAGAAGATCTATATCCAAGAACTGGCTGAAGGGACCAGTCAATGCAACGGTTAACATCATTCACCCAATAGTTTGTGGCACAAACTACTGGGTGTAAGATAGGCTCAAGGATGTATTGTACAACATGGGGAATATAGCCAATATTTTGTAATAACTATAAATGGAAGGTAACCTTCTAAAATTGTATAAAAAAAGAACATCATTCACACGATTATTTTCAAAGCAGGCTGATCTTCAAGACCTTTCTTCTTCACTCTGATGGTGTTTCTAGGGTAAACCAATAGCCTTAAATTATCATCATAACTACGACAGAAATCACGGTGGTCTGCTTTAGGCAAAATGAATAATTAATAAAGATGCAGCTTTGGGTAGAGCGTGAAACACACAATTATTGTTTTCTGTTAGCAATGACTGAGGCCTTTTTATTTCAAGGGTCTTGGCAGATCTCTTTACTTGTGGTTATTGTTATTATTCCTCTTAATGATTTAATGGTCCTTCTTTCTCCCTCATAAGGCAATATCCTCAGATGCTATTTTGACTTTCTATTCTCCAGTCTATCTCTTGTTCTTGCATTTCATGGAATCAGGAACATATAGTTAGACCCTTCTTAGCATGTTATTTTATACTGTTGCCTTCTCAACAATCTTTAATTCCCTGAGGGCAGCGATGTAGCCACAGCCCCTGTCATCATCACAATGCTAAATACAGCATTAGGAATTGGGTGCATGATAAGTACTTGCTGAACTGTACTTACTTTACAACCCATACTCATTCGGTTATCTACAACTGAAGGTCTATTCCAGGGAGTACATTCTCTGCTTCATCATTACATCATTTTGAGTGGCTGAGATGTTTAAAATGCAATTGTATAAGTACAAATGTATGACATTCTGAGGTTACATTTTCAAAAACTCGGCCTCTCAAAACAATGTAGAGATGGAAGCAGAGAGAATGATTGCAGATTAATGAACATAACTGAAACCAGGAATTCACAGGGTGGTGATTTGCAACCTGGCTTGTATATTATAATCACCTGGGGAGCTTTTAAGACCTAGGAGGCCCAGGCCCCACTTCCTCCCCTAACCAGACCAATTAAATTAGAATTGCTGTGAGGTTTTCTTGAGTTGCCCCTGGTGACTCTCATGTGTAGCTATGGTTGAAAATCACTGATCTAGAAGGAGGAGAGCTGGAAAGAAACTGAAAAAAAGGAAAACAAATTTATTCTGCAAATGGTGAATCAATGTAGCTCAAAGGAAGCTTCAACTGGAAAGGCTAGATGAAACCCCTGAATAAATCTCCACGTTGGTAAAGAGGGGACTCTTCCGTAAGCTATAGGCCAAGGTCCTGGCACCACAGCAGTACCCATGATGGAAAAGCATCTAGTGTCAGTATTGGAAAAGCATTTGTTCAAATTCATGCCACTTTCATTCTACAAATATTTATAGACCACCTACTGTGTACCTGGTCCTATTCTAGGTTCTGGGATACAACAGTGAACAAAGCATACAAAAATCCCTGCTCTCCAGTGCAAAGGAGAAGTAAAGGAGGGAAAGGGAAGTACCAGACAAGGTGCTGGTATTTTAGACAGGAAGGCCAGGGAAGCCCTTCTTGTGCAGGTGACTTTTGAATAAGGATCTGAATGAAATGAAGGAGCTGCCAAGTAGATATTTCCAGAAAAAGCATTTTGTGAAAAGGGATCAGCAAGTGCAAAGGTCCTAAGTATATCTTGTGTGTCAAGAAACAGCCAAGAGACTGCGGGCCTGGAGTCAAGCGAATGACAGAAGAGTAGAAAAAAATAAGATTGGAGACGTTTTTGAATGCCAAATAATATAGGGCCTGATACGTCATAGTAAGGGCTTCAATTACTGAGTAACATGAGAAGTCACTGGAGGGTTTTGAATAGTGGAATGACATGACTCGATGTATGTTTTGAGGATCACTCAGGCTATTGAGAATAGTTTGAGAAAGGGCAAGGGAGGAAAGAGACTAGGGAGCTGTTATTACCAACTAGGTGAAAGATCGTTAGACCAGGGTATCAGTAGAGGGAAAAATGAGAAGCTGTAGATTCTGGATACATTTTGAAGATACAGTTTATAGAATTTGTTAACTGACTAGAGGTAGAGTGTAGGAAAATGAGATGTCAAAGATTTTTTGGCTTTGCCACTGATAAAGATGGGCAAGATAAAGGAGGAACAGGTTTGGGGATATCAGGAGCCTAGTTTTAGACATGTTAAGTTTGAGAGGCCTGTTAGACATTCAACTAGATATACTGAGTAAACAACTAGATAGAGCCGAAGTTAAGGGGAAAGCAACCCCTTTCCCTTGAAATGGACATGGGGAAGTCTGCATGGTATCATGTGTGATCCAGCAATCAGGGAATTCACCATGTGCAAAGTATATCAGATTTGTCTCCAGAAATGCAGAATGCTAAATCACAATTAATCTGGTTTTGACAATTTCTTAGTTTCAGAGATTGGTCCTTTTCCACATTTCTTCTAAGTAATCTTGGCACAAATAAAACTCCAATGGACATTGCAGCAGGAAGTGGGCTCTCTTAAACTGACATCCTGGCCTTTAACCTCTGCTCTATCCACTCAGTGACAGTTACTGTCATCATTTTGTTTTGTTTGATATACCCCCAACTAGACTGTATATTTCTTGAAGACAAGTTGAGATCTCCTTCTGGGCATTTTTCCTTGAACATCAATACATAATTGTTGATTGAACATCAATACATAATTGTTGATTAATTGAGCATGTTACAGTCTCCAAATACCACCAAATAAATCTGATCATTCTTTAGACCTGAACACCTGCAGAATGGATGGCCAGTTCTTATGTTGATATGCTCCTTTGTAAGTCCTCTTAAGTTGGCTGAATGTATAAACTCTGGGTCACTAATTCCTCTTATAGAATTCCCTTTCATGGGTCACCCAGTGTGATATATACACATATGCACACATGAACAGAAACTCTGTAGTTGGAGAAGGTACTCTATCATTCAAACAGCTGTGGGGTGGGTGGTCTAGAAAGGTTGAGAAAAACCAGAAGGTGTAAAAATTCAAAGAATCAACATTTCCACAATGTTGCTTGCAATGAAAGCCTGTTTTTAGAATTGCTGACATGAAGCAATTCTAAATGTGTTTACTAGTAGCTTAGAGACATCTACTTAAACAACTATTATTTTAAATTCTGTTTTAAAGTTGTTTACTTCAGACATACGAATTTTATAAAAATCTCCTTGAGGGCTTGGATTTTGTTTTATCCCCTGCCATTTCTCCAGCACTCTGAACAGTGCCTAGCATGCAGTAGGCACTCAATAAATATTTATGGAAGGAATAAGTGATTAGGATCAAATCAAGAAAATGTTGGCAGCACAGTTAAAGTAGATTCCTTAGTTGTAACAAATGTTCATCATTTAATAATATATTTGACAGAATTTTCAGATTATTGATTTCATATAAAATATTTGAGCTAGTTATAAAGTAAAAGCATAAAAATGCATTGAATTATACACTGTCTTACAAAAGGATGAGTCACTTAGATTATTTGCTAATTAGTAAACTAATTAATTCAATAAATATCAATTAAATGCCTACAAAACACAGACACTACATTAGCTACCCATGATACAATGATAATTCCTATTCTCAAACCATCTGGAATCTAGTAGAAGAGATGGACAGATAAAGAGATAATGATAATAAGAAGCTAAAAATAATTTTTAAAAATATGTCTAATATATTATAGAGATAGAGAAGGAGGGAGGATAGATCTTGAATGAAGTCATAAATGATGAGTAAGAATTTTCTAGGCAGAAGGGTAGGGTAGGAGGGTATTCCAGGTGACATGACCAGCATGAAATAGGCCTGGAACAAAGCATGTTATGTTCTTAGGGAGACTCCAAGCATTCGGAGCTCATAGTCAGGAGAGGTAACCACGCAGGTCATGGAGGTCCCAGTTACCACACTGGAGAGCTAGAGTTTCATCCTCTGTATAATGAGAAATCAACAAATTACTTTAAGTATGTTAGTGATATGTTCAGATATGCATTTTAGAGAGATCACTTTGGTGTTGAGGTTGGATTTTATGAGACAAGCCAGGAGACTGTAAATCCAGTTAGAAAGTGGCCCAAGTAAGAGGCCCAAGCAATGGATGATGAAATCTTGGGTTAAGGAGGATAATAGGGATGAAGAAAATTAGGTAAATTTGAGAAATATTTAAGAGACAAAATGAGTAGAACTCTGTGATTAGTGGAATGTGTAGGTAAGGATGAAGGAGTAATCAAAGGAAGCCCCTAGGTTTTGAGTTTATATGAATGGGTCCATCACCTGAAATATAGAACATCAGGACAATGGCTCACTCCAGGGGAAATCTGAAATGCCCGTAGATTATCTATCTGGAGAAGCTAGTTGACAAGTTGGTCTAGAGGTTAGGAAAGGAGACTACTTTAGACATATAAAATTAGATGACCTCAGCCTATTAGGACACAAATGGTAAATGAAGCAGGAGGGGAGGTCTGCAAAGAGAAGACAAAGTGAGAAGTGCAAAGGGTCTAGGTTGCATCTCTGGAGAACCACAATGTTAGAGGGGCAGGCAAAGAAGATACGCTCTCAAAGGAGATAGAGCAGATAGCCAGGGATGCAAGGTGAACTAGCAGAGTTTGGTGCTACCAAAGGAATAAAAAACTTCAAGAAGAAAGGATTGTAAGTTCAAATGCAGCTAAATTTTAGTGAAATGAAGACAGCAAAATAAATATTAGGTTCAATAGCTCAAGGTTGTTCATGACCTTGATGAGAAGAGTTCCAGCACAGAAACAAAAGAAACAGTATAGTTTTGTAGAAAGTCAGATGGAATTGGGTTTGAATCCCACCTCGGTTACTTAAATGAGCTTGATTATTACCTCTCTGGACCTCAGTTTCCTCTTTGGTAAAATGAAGACAAAGATATCCACCTTCCTGTGGGTGTTTGTAAAAATGAGAAATGACATGTGAACACTTCTGTTACCTAATAGAGGAAAGCAAGTGGAAGGGATTGAGGAGGTGTAAAGTGGAGGCACAGGCTCATGCCTAGACTGGATTTCAGCCCTTCATGCCTCCTGCAGCATTATGTCCTATAAGAGCCTCAACATAAAACATTGTCTATGTGAGCACAGAGTGGGGACTCGAGGGAATCAATGACAAGTGGGGCAGCACACGGAGCTTGAGACCACAATTTGTAGAAACAACAGGCTGGATTGTTGTCTAGTTTTACCCCAGGAGCATGAAGATCTCTGGGGCTGGGATAGAAAAGGTGGCTTTCAGTCTTGATCTGGGGCTGGAGTTCTGAAGGACAAATGCAAAGGAAGAATAGGGAGAAAAGGCTATTAAAAGTGCTGGTGAGGAGTTGACATGGGTACAGTACGGAGAAGGAAGGTAGGGCCTGATACCTGCAGGCAAATAAAAGATCTAGGTCAGTGGATCTCAATCAGGGGGCAATTCTCACCCATCCCCACCCCTTAAGGACATCTGGCAATGTCTAGAATCATTTGTGGTTGTAACAGTTCGGAGGAAGGAGGTACTACTGGCATCTAGTGGGTAGAAGCCAGAGACGTCAGTAAATATCCTACAAAGCACAGGACAAAGAATTATCTGGCCCCAAATGCCAATGGTGCCAAGATTGAGAAACCCTGATCAAGGGATTGTTCATTCCTCACTACACTGATAGAAGCAAAGCCCTTGCTCAGAGGAAAAAAGCGTTGTGGTGAAATGTATTGACTCATTAATATTTTTTGTTCCCTATGGCATCTAGAACAATATTTCTCTCACAGCAATAATAAAATGATAAAACAATAATGCTAGTTATAATAGCCAACAGTAATTGTTACAATACCATGTATTAATCGCCGTGCAGTGTTTCATAGGCATTGTTTTACTTCCTTATAAATACTCCAATCCCAGGCCATAGGTAAAACTTGGGGACGTTGAGCCAGCTTTCCTCACTGTCTGTGTGGTCTCCCCTGAAGGAAGATCTGGCTCCCCTTCTACTAATAATTCATGTCAACAGCAATAAAATGCCAACACTAAAAACTACCATTTGTTAATGCCTTTTTGTGTGTCAGGTTGAGCACTTTAATTTGTTTAATCCTCACAACGCTCCATAAAATTATTCTTATGTTCAATTTATACTTGAGAAAACTGAGGCTTAGAGAAGTTAATTGCTCGATGTCTTTCCTACATAGAATAGGAAGCAGCAAGCACTGGATTCTAACACAGGTCTATCTCTTTCCAAATCTTGGACTCTCAACATGTTTTCAAATAAAATTATAGCCATTCCAGCCACTCCTATACTTCCACATTTTTTTTTTTTTTTTTTGCAGTACACGGGCCTCTCACTGTTGTGGCCTCTCCCGTTGCGGAGCACAGGCTCCGGACGCACAGGCTCAGTGGCCATGGCTCACGGGCCCAGCCGCTCTGCGGCATGTGGGATCTTCCCGGACCGGGGCACAAACCCATGTCCCCTGCATCGGCAGGCGGACTCCCAACCACTGCGCCACCAGGGAAGCCCCTTCCATATTTTTCAATCCAGAGGATCTCTCTCTACAAATAGACATGTTGTAGGCTATCTTTTTTTTTTTTTTTTTTTTTAAAGGAGCTTTCTTTCTTGCCCTTTCTGTTTTGGGGACTATGTACATATGTATAATTGCTACTTTTAGCATCTGGATCAGCTTCTGATAATAACTTGGGTTTATTTAGTGACAGTCATTACATATTTATTGATTGCCTCATATATGCCAGACACTATTCTAGACACTATCAGATAGAGTTGTGACCTGGACGGCAGTGTCCCTTTGCTGGAGAACCTCTGTTCTGGTGGGGTTGATGGGCAACAAACATGTAAACAAACACATAAAATAATTTCAGGTACTGATAGGTGCTAAGAAGGAAACAACAAAAAATGTAGAGTCATGTCCTAGTGGCACTAAAGTAACCAGGGAAATACTTTGAGTTGGTGACATTTGAGTTGTGAGTAAATTGATGGAAAGAACATGGCCATGTGAAAATCTAGGGTGGAAGGTGGCAGTAAATGTTTTAGAAGGAAAAACCAGTGCAAAGTCCTGAAAGCAAAAACAAATGTGTTGAGTTTGAGGATAAGTCTCTGGGGAGCCTGCAACTTAGTGAACAAGAGAGAGGCCAGTGAGATGGAGGGAGATGAGGCCAGGTAGCGGGGCACGAGGCAGATCCTGTAGATCCCACAGGTCAGGGGGACCGTCTCAGTTAAAGTAATGCTTTCCATTAAGTGTAACCTTTATCAAAGACTTTTAAAAATAGAAAGTGTAATGCTTCTAAAGCATCAATTTAATTTAACAACATTTAATATCTTTTGATAATTCTGATAGACAATGTGGCCAGTGCATGTGAAGCATTTTGGGGATTTACAGGTAGTTTCAATTCTAGTCCTACCAGCCATGGAACAGAGTCAATCAGATTAAGATCCTAATATTCTATTAAAGAACAGTTGAGCATATTAATTCCTTCTTATCTCTTATCAGAGCACTTAGATGGAATATTGTAATTTATTCATTCACAGAAGTAACAAATAGTTCTTGATTTCTTTCCATGTACTTGATTTTTTTCTACATACTTTCCATGCATTATGTCTTCATATATATTCACCCTGTGTTTGAATACCCACGATTTTATGCAATGGAGGATCCGAGAGGTTAATATCAATAAGATGACACAGCTAGAAAGTGGTAGCACTATGATTTAAAATAATATTGTCTCTTTCAGATCCAAGGGGTACATGTATATAATTGTATTTTAATACAATTTGTTTCCATGTAATACTATGTTTTGTACTTTATGCATTTAAAAGTATTTTGAAAAGCAATTCTTAGATTGTATACCAAAATATCAAAAAGTCCACAGTAAAAACTTCTGTTCCAGATCTTGCATTATAATAGAAGTAGCTACAACATGCTGTAGAAATGCAAAGGAGATGGTGACTAAACCTACATGGGGAAGGTCAGAGGAAAAGCTTCATGGAAATGATGACACTAAAGTTGAAGTTTGAAGAACCATGAAAGGAACAGAGGAAGGAAAGGAGAGCGGAGCAAACAGCAAGGGCATATTCAGGGAATGGTTCACAGGGCTCCCAGAACTGGATCACGAGGTGGCCAGCAGGGATTGGCAGTTCATCAGTTAAGATAGGATTTAAGCCCCAGATCACAGTTGACTCTATATGCCATGTTTAATATATTGGGTATTATCTTGGGGCAGATGGAGAACCACTAAAGACTTTTGAGTAGGACAATTGTGGTTTTGAAATAACGTTCAATAGTTTAGTATAAAAACAAAGCCTTCCATGTCTTGGCTTGCTATAAGATCATACAAAGACATGGATGCCAAATACAGAAATATCATTTGAAGCAAACCCTCATCTGACTTCTAGTTCCCCTTAGCCCTCACCAGCTTTCCGCTTACCTTGATTCTGTGTACCAGAGGAGCAAAGAGAAACACAAAGAGCTCCACAGTAGCCATGGAGTTCTGGAAGATCTTCCATCGGTTGTTTTCTTCTTCATCATTGGAGTTGTTTTGGCAAGGCTGCCCTGGAGAGCCCTGGTTTTCAACCTGGTGGATGAAAGCACTGCTGCTGCCACCCCAGCTGGAGCCTCGGTCTGTGCCCCCAAAACGCTCGCTGTTGCAGTCCTGGGGGGCCTCCAGGAGCATCCAGTGCAGGGTATGAAGGAGCTTTGTCTCAGCGACACCCAGTTTATCCTGGTGGCCTGCATGGGACAACAACACAGCTAGGTTAAGGCAAACCCTGTGACCAGAACAACGGGTGTCAACCTTGGGTGTGGGAAGAACATCCTTGCTTTGTTCTGTGGCTTGATTTCCTGGGAGAAACTAGCATTTCTCTACACCCCTTACAGCCACTGCTGAAAGGGTTCACTCTTGCTTTGGGACTTTCTAACTGGCTGCAATCCCTGCAGAATGATATGTTGACACAGGGAAAGAAACTGCATGCGTCACATCTCTTCAGTCAGATACCCACATATATTTCCAACTAAGCAGCAGAGTAGTTAAGAGTATGGGCTTTGAGGATAACAGCTACTCCATTTTAGACAGTGTGATTAGGAAAGGCCCCTCTATAAAGGTAACATTTGAGCAGAGACCCAAATGAGGGGAAGGAACTGGATGGAGAAGATCTTGGGGCAGATGGCTAGGACATAATGCCATGTGGGAAAAGCAACCTGCAAAATAATCTAAACAAGAAAAATAATATGTATGTGCATGCATGCACACATACACATAATACCACGAAGTTGGGAAAAGATTTGGAGCGGAATATGACAAACTCATGAAGGTGGTTGCTTTAGGCGTTGGGAGGACAAAGGGACAACTCTGATTAGAACTCATCTTGAACAGGTGAGAGAGTCTTTAGCTTCTCTATAACATTCTAATGTTTAAAAGGAGAATACATTCACATATTCTTGTAAAGTTAAAAAGTTAAAACAAAGAGAGCTAGTTCCCTCATTGGTAAAATGGAGATAACAATGACACCAACGTGAGGGAGATTTTGTCAGAATTAAATGAGAATGTGTGCCCAGTGCCTGGAAAAATAGTCAGTTATACAGGTTGTTATTGTGAGTGTTATTATGAGTCACCATGAGTGAGGACAATGGTATGTCATGAAGAAGGAATGTAGCAGCACCAACCTAGCTTGTTTCTGTTTGACAGCAGGGTTGCAGTGCAGTGCAGGACATGAGGCAAAGCAGCTTGTACCAGTTCCCATCTGGAAATGCTCTGGATGGCTTCAGAGAGGGCTGGAGAGAGGCCATGCAGCTTGTTTTCTACCAACACTCGTTCAAAGGACTGTAGATACCAAAAAAAAAAAAAAAAAAAGTAAAATAAGAAATTAGAGATTCTGATGGGTGAAAAAATAGACAACATGGTACTGTATACCCAAAAAGATATGTATCACTAGACCAAATTCTTTAGCGTGCCCGCACATTGCATTTCATTGTATATGTTGACATGAAATGAGCCAGTGATAATTTCCTATTGTCTACCCATTTTCACGTTTTTGATCCAAAGTATATGGCTTGAATTATTACATGATTTTTATTTCCACCAAAATAAGCTCCTGTCAAAAAGAGTACAACAACACATTTAGCTGTATGAAGGTTTTGGACGTAATATTTTATAAAATGATCCTGGGTCATTGAAAGGAGCTATCACAACTGCAGACCAAGGTGAAATGTCTTTTGTGAAAGTGTCTTGAGGTACAGAATTTATGTGAATGGGCAACAAGTGTTAAATAAGATCCAACTGTTTCAAGAGATCTGATTTTGGGGTCTCTGAGTTATTCCATGTCCCTAGCAATGATGTGGCACAGGACACTCCCTACAGAATGCCTAAAACCATAAAGATTGTTCATCTAACTGTCGAATAAAGAGAGAAAAGGAGGGGAAGAAGAAAGGAGGGAGGGAGGAGGGAATAAGCCATTTTTGCTTTGGTGGTTTATTAAATCTTCTATCCTGGCCAGGGATACTTTCAGCAAGTGAAGCACCCCACCCCCAAGCCCCAGAACAAGTTGACCTACTGAGTTGTTTTTTCTCTTTGAAGGTGGAGGAGGATATCCCTATAAGGTGTTGGGGAAAGTGCAGCTACCAAATATCAGAATAAAGTTAATAAACATTTGACTTGTATGAACAGAACCTGCTTCCTACTTGATGTCCCAAATGATCTAGAGAGCTGTGTTCTCCCCCAAGTGGTCATAATACCAGTCCCAAGTGCTCAAGCTGTGTTATTGGAATTATTAGGATATCTGAGAAAAAATATGGCCTAATACAGAGATTCTCCAAAGAAAGCTATTTACCTTTGATTCAAGAAAAGAAAATACATTCACCTTCATAATGAAAGGCATGCTGAGGTTTGGCAAGGAGTTCAATCAGAGATGTAGTCTTTGGGGTTTTCTTAAAGAAACCAGATAAAGGCAGGTCCAAATACTTAAAAATTCCTCAGCCCTCAGGGATCTAAGTATTCATTAAGTAAAGGGTGAGTATGTTAGACATTAAAAGATTATAAAGAATTTATATAGTCTTGATGAATATACTTTCAGAGGATGAGTTATACATTTTATAATCTCAGGAAGCTTTAGATACTTAATGCCATTTTCTTCTTAAATGTTACTAATATAACTTTTTGTAATTTTAAACCTTGGCAATTGTTTTCTATACTTACATCACTCTCTATCTATCTGTATCTATGAATGGGACTTACTTGATATTGTGTGACAACATTAAAATGTCAGACATATCTTTGCCAAGAACAGAAAAGTCAGGGTTATTTTAAGCTAGTATAACTGCAAGCATGATTTGAGGAAGGCGCAGAGATTTCAGGTGCCAAATTACTTTAACTTGAGCTAAGTACAACAAATCCCATTAAAAGGTCCTTATTAAAAAGTTGGTTAGATTTAAAAAAATATCTGTGACAATTTTGAAGGGCATGAAATGCAACAAAAAAATTCTTATTTGAGCGTGTGCTGTGCACGTATGTGTGTGTATGGGGAGAGGTGTTTGACTTTCCAGTTGGCTTCCATAATAGTGTGTGGCCCTAACACATTTCAGAGCTCCTTACTAGAAGGTCATTTATCATCTATCAAGTCATTTGCAAATATCATGGCAATATCCAAATGGGTAGGTTTCCACTTTTAGGTTATAATATATGCAATGTAAAGACCTTTATGTGAGCTCCAAGTTTTAATGAAGTCTTTGAAAAGCCCATTTTAATTTTGTTTCATGTTTTTGTGTCTTCTCAATTTGTAAAAAGACAATCTGTAAGTCATGGGATTCCCTCAGAATCTCAGGACAAGTGCACTGTATTTTGCATAAATGTTAATAGCATTATTTTCATAATTATTTCATATCATCCATTTCAGGCTTGCACAAAAAATGGAAGACATAAAAGTTCAGAATTGCATATTACTTTGAGTAGGTCATAGGCTCTCATTTTATGAGCTTCCACTATATAACAGTTTTGATTTTGTTGATTAAGGATTTGACTTATTATACTTGTCCTCATTCTGTTATCTTTCCACACTCTCTTCTACTGCTCTACCCCTCCCCACTTAGGGCCTTTAGACTTGCTTTCCCTCTGCTCTGCCCTCAGCTATTTCTCCCTCCCTTCCTTCAAATCTTTGTCCAAGGGTCACATTAGCAGGCAAACCTTATCTATCCTCTACTTCTAACATGAAACCTCCACCCTAGGGCTCCTTAATGACCTTTCTTGCTTAATTTTTCTCCATAGCGCATATCACCACCTGGCTGGCTATGTATTTTACTCATTTATGAGTGGCCTATCCCCCTCCCAGTAGAATGCAAACTCTATATTTGTTTTGATTATTGCTCTATCTCATCATCTAGAACTGTGCCTGGCACATAGTAGGTGCTCAATAATATTTGCTGAGTGAATTAATATATACAGTACAATTTAAATTCTTTCTTTCAAATTACCACACAGTATATGCAAATAGTCATTAAATGGTGAATATCACATACCACACAAGAGGCTTCATATTGCTTCCCCAGTTTAGGCCTCAAAAATGCACTGAAAAATTAATAGAAATAATCGTTTTAAACGCAAGTAAAATTATTATTAGAGCATCCTTATGACATATTTTCAACGAATAAGACATAGTGCTATGAAACAAATTTCACGCCTCCCTATGGCTTGCTAAAGGGCGGGTATTAAACAGCTGACGACATTTGCTTTTATGTGTGTGATTACATACATGAAAAAGCTGTGGATTTCTACGTTTTCTGTATCCAGTCTTATTCTGAAGACTTCTTACCTAATCGGATTCTAAATCACCAATGGTCAGAAGCGTTGCATTACTCATGTGTACCGTCATTTCAAAAACTGAAAACTGAACACAGTTTGTGGCATATGATTTTCAGAATCTAATTTCTTATCTGATAAATCTCTAAAATAATAATAATTAATAATAATAATGGAAACCTTGTTTCCTGTTCATGGAAATAGGTTTCAGGTTTTTCCAAGAAAAAAAAAATTTATTAAAAATGATTCTTCTCAGAGGCTTTAACCAGGAAGATTACACTAGCTGAATCCGAGCAAAAATGGTTAACAAGTGGGCATAGCAGACATTCAACAAACAGGAGCTGGAAAAACAACAGGTCACCGGGCTGGAATTACAGCAGGAGATGGAGGGGGAATTGGACACAGGAGCACAACCAGTCATAATTATCTTCCCTAATTCCCCGCCCCCTCTCCCTAGGCTCTCTGCCCTCTCATCCCCTAAATAATGTATATATTTATTCTACAGCTGCCAACCTGCTTGCCGTCAAACTTCACTGAAATATTTTTTAAATGCGTGTTTTTACGCGGGTGCAGAAGGCTCGATTTCCAGCCCCAGAGAGGGAGCTGCAGGCTGTGGCGCGGCCTCAGCAGCAGCGGCAGCGGCGACGACGACGACCCAGGCGGCCCCAGGAGCGCTCCCAGCCCAGGGCGGCCCACGGTGCGCCCTCTGCGCCCCTCACCTGGTTTGCCGCCACAGGAAGGTCTGGATGGGCAAGGGGATGCCGCGGCCGCTGTCTTGCTCTTGGCCCTCGGAGCTCTTCCTCTTCACCATGATGGTGGCTCCTGGGAGTTCCACTGCAGGACCCAGCGCTGGCTCCTCGCTAGCCGCCGCCGCTTCCTCCCGCTGCTCTCCCCAACTCTCATCCCCTCCTTCCCTGAGGCAGAGCAGACGCTCTCCGCCCTGATCCCCCGTCCCTCTCCCCTTCCCCAGCCCCTCCCCGCGCGTGGAACATGGCTGCGGGAGGAGGGGAGGGCTGGAGGAACCGAGGAGCGAGGACGGAGGCGCTCGGAGAAGCTGTCCGCCTCGCCGCCCCCGCGCCCTCTCCTTGCTTTCAGAACCTCCCACTGTGGACAGCGGCCCGCGCCGGACAGGGGTCAGGTTGCGCAGCAGTGGGACGGCCAAAAGGGTCCCAGCTCGACACCGCGCAGCAGGTCCCCTGCGTGGCCTCTTTAGCCCCCAGAATTCGGCTTCCTCCCCTTGGAGCTGCACCCCAGGAGTGTCCCCTGTCCTGCTTCCCAACCTTGGCAGCTGAAGAACTGTCACGTTCCAGGGAGGAGGAGCTTTGAAGAACCGCAGAGCAGTCGCTATAACCCTGGCATCCTTCGTACCTCCGGCAAGGAGGTCAGGAGTCCACCCTCGGGATTCAGCAGAAGGAGCACTTGAAAATTATTAGAAGTCTAAACCAGGAAGGAAGCAAGTTTGGCAAAACAGAAAGCTTGAAAGTTCTCTGATGTGAGAATTTATTGTAAAAGGGTAACCACAAGAAAGTAACCATGCTTGTTTCGCCAAAGCAGAAATATTGCCAAACTAACCAGTTGTATCAGTTAATTACAACTTGAGAAAGAACATTGATATTCATGTTCATTCCATTGATATCTGCCATTTTACTTGAGTTGTCATAGTCAAAGCCCTGTACTATAGTTTATAAGTAGATTATTGTTAGATGTTTTATCTGGCAGTAAAACAAGTAGGGGGTGGGGTCAACAGTGAAGCAGTGTGAGTAAAAAACCATTGCTGTGGATCCAAATACTTGCAAATGAACATAGTCATACACCATGTTGAGCAAAGGTATTGGTGTGATCCACAAAATGGAGAATCAGACACCCCAGGGCCTAATCTCAACAGATAGAAATATCTTCTATTAACTACATGTGTGTCTATACCATATAGAGACAACTATATGGTATGTATTGGTATTTTCAGTCACAGAAATAAATTCTTCGTTTAATTTCTTAAAGTTTTTTTTTCCTTTTTAACCATTGGACAAAGAATCTTATAATTAGTATCAGCAGCTCTGTGAGGAGGAAAAAAGATAACAATGATGTTTTATAACATCAGTGAGTAAGTTCATTTCTCAGAATTATGTGATGGTCATGTTTTTTTCAGTTATTCATAGATACTTTCCATTGCTTAAGATTATAAATATCTAGGGCTAGGACATACAAAGGAAACTTAGAGACAGTCCACTCCTATTTCCAAATTGTACTGATAAGGGTGATGAGGCCTAGGGTTATGAAGTGACTTCCTAGCTGGTTAATGGTTAGGACCCAAAGGAGAAGCAAGTCCTTATGATTCTCATCACAGAGCTCTTTTCTTTTATAGGCTATATGGTAAATAGGTTTTCTCTCTCACGCCAACTCAGATCAATTGGTAGGGCCTGGCTGTTGAGAAAGACTGTGGAGATAAGGCCCGGGTACTTCAAGAAAAGACTGCTGTTATTAATTAGTGCTGTCTGCTATGTGAACAGCATAGGGGAAATTACACACATTTGTTACTTCTCAAAGGTATTCTTTATACATGATCTTTGAGCCTAACTTTCAATATTTCTTCTGCCTCGCTTGTAGCTGCCATCACTCACAATGTTACTGAATGTCGTCAAAGATATTCTACCCTGAGAGGTAATATGTCTCAGTGTACCAGACTTAGATTTGAACATTGGGAAATGTGTCATTTTTAGTTTGGATCTTCATTGAGTTTTCTTGAGCTGTTTCTCATTTCTCATGTTGCTAAATGTCTTGGGCTTCTGCATTATTATGATGTGACCTGTCTGACTAGGATCTCAAAGCTGCCAGGGCAGGGCTAAAGCTCTGAGTACAGGCTGACTCCAGTTTTGCTTCTCTTGAAGTCATCTTTAATATGAATCTTGAAACAAAGAAAGATAGATTCTAAATAGTTTATTCATATTTACTGAGTCCATTTTATATGCCAAGCACTAATCTATATAGATTCCTGCCCATAAGAAACTCACTGTATTGAAGGGAAGACAGATAGGTAAAGAAAAGGGTACAATGGGAGACATGATACAAATTTACTTATGAACAAAGGGACAAGGCAGAAAATGTGGGCAAGAATCAGACGGAGAAAGATTTTGTATGGCAGGCTACAAAGTTTGGATAGGAAGATTTTAAGCAGGGCAATAAACACTTCATTTCCATTCAAAAGTGACTGATATGACTGGAATGTAGAGGTTATTTGAAATAGGCAAGAGTTGTGTGTGGGAACCTAAGTCTGGAGATTAGAAAAATATCCTATGAGATCCTGAACTAAGGACAGGACAACAGAGCTCGAGATAAGGAGATGAGTTTGAGTGGACTTGCAGAGGCAGAATAGATAGGACTTGATAACAAAGTGGGCATGGGGAAAGAAAAATAGCACAGTGGTTAAAAGCTTAGGTGTTGAGCCAGACAGTTTTGACTCTAGCCCTACCTCATATTAGATATAACAACCTGGGAAAGGTTCTTCACTATGGTTTTCAAGTAATTGTATTGATACTTTCTCCATAGAGATGTTGTGAAGATTAACGTTAATACTTGTAAAGAATTTAAGAGAGTCCCTGATCTATACTAAGCCTTCAGTAAATATCAGCTGAAGCTCTAAATTTTCTATTTTGAGCAACTGAGTAATGATGATCTCATTCAAAGAGAGAAAAAGTTGGCAAGGAGAATCATGTTCTTATTTTATTAGTGTGTATGGGAGAATTAATTAGTTTTCCTTGAGTAGCTATTGGAAATTCCAATGGATACCACGAAGAGGCAGCTAGAAATATGGATGTGGAGCCCAGAAGGGCTAACGGGGTAGGATAGATTGATTAACACTGTATAAAAGATAGTGAAACCATGGAAGTAGATAAAGTAATTCAGGTGAACATATGGAAAGAGAAAAAAAGAGCCCAATTTGGAAGTATAGGGGAAAACAACTTTAGTCTTTTGTCACCAAAGATGTTTTTAGGAGGTGACAGCATAGGATAGGATAGAGGGGTAGGCAAAATTCTAAGATGGCCCCCAAGATTCCTGCCCCTTGCTAAACATACACATCTTCTCCAAGTTATTAATAAAACCCATACTAACCTAGGTGCTGCGGTGAAACAATTTATATAAACTTTAAGATTTTTTTAAATTATTAATAGACTTTATTTCTGAGGGCAGTTGTGGTTTAAAGAAAGAATACACAGACAGTTCTCATATATTCTCTCTTTTCCAGCCCACAATTTCTCCTTTTAACAACTTGCGTTGGTATGGTACATTTGTTATTATTGATGAGCCAATCTGATACATTATTAACTAAATCCATAGTTTACATTAGTGTTTACTCTTTATGTTGTAGAGTTGTATAGGTTTTTCCAAATAATGTCATTTATCCATCATTATGATATACAGAGTAGTTTCATGCTTTAAAAATTTTCTCTGCTCCACCTAATTCCTCCCTGCTCCTCTCCAGCTCCTGGCAACCACTAATCTTTTCACTGTCTCTATAGTTTTACCTTTCTCAGAATGCAATATAGTTGGAATAATACAGTACGTAGTTTTTTCAGACTGGCTTCTTTCACTTAGCATTTAAGTTTCCTTCATGTCTTTTTGTAACTTGATAGCTTATTTCTTTTTATTGCTAAGTAATATTCCATTTGTATGGCTGTACCACATGACAGTTTATTTATTTATTTATAAATAAATACCAGTTTATTTATCCATTCATCTTTTTTTTTTTTTTTTGGCCATGCTGCATGGCTTGTGGGATCTTAGTCACCCCACCAGGGTTTAAACCTGGGTGCTTGGCAGTGAAAGCATGGAGTCCTAACCACTGAACCACCAGGGAATTCCCTATCCATTCGTCTATTGAAGGTTGGTTGCTTCCAATACTTGGCAATTATGAGTAAAGATGCTACAAACATTTTGTGCGCAGGTTTTTGTGTAGATGTAAGTTTTCAACACATTTGGTAAAATACCTAGGAGTGCAATTGCTGGACGATTTTTAAAGACTGATTAGCTTTGTAAGAAACTGTTAAACTGTCATCCAAAGTGTCTGTACCATGGAATGTTTTTTTTAAATAAGAGATTTGGACATATTTATGGGCCAGAATTAAAGGGTCATTTTAGAAGGAAATGTTGAGCATATTTAAGAGAGAGAATAATTAATTAACCAGATTCTGGAGCACAGCTGGATTTATCATTCTTTGGTGGAAAAATAATTCCTAGGATGGGAGATAAAAAGGAAGAATGGTAGAGTCTAAGTTAGAAGGAAAAGAAGAAGAATGAGAATATGAGAGTGTTCAGGCTTGATGGCCTATGTAAGCTCTGTAGTAATCAATAAGGTCATTTTTAATGAGTGATATTTAATAGATAAAAGTAGGGTATTTGTCAGAAAAATATTAATAGCAGGTAGCATATATTGAGTACTCGTTATATGTCAAGGTCTGTTTTAAGTGTATCAATCAATTGATCCAAAAAACTCTGCTGTCAAAACTTAAAGTAGAGAAAACTGAGCCACAGAAAGGTTACATAACCTGCCTGAGGTTACACAGTGAGTGCTAAAAGAAACTGTGAAGTCTGGCTTCAAAGTTATACCCTAACTTTCTATTACAATACTGAGTATTGTGAAGTTTTGAGGGTTTGGAAGAAGTGCTATGAATCATGTAAATGAGAGCTACTTAAGGACATACGAAAGAACTTCTCTGTTAATGATAGAAGATGAAGAAGAGCTAATGGTCCTTTCCATTTCCAAATCCCCTTAAGGCAATGAGTCATATGGAGGTGGAAAAAAATCTATAATAAGCA